GGGGGCGGGCGGCGGCAGCGCCCCGCAGTCCCCGCGCCTCAAACACTTGCAGCAATCGCTGGCGCGCAACGTCGCCCCGCGTCGCGCGCTGGTGCCTCCCTCCTCCCGCTCGGTGGCTCCAGGACTCCCCGCGAGTCTCCGGCGCTCAGCTCTAACCCGCGCACCAACAGACGCCCCTGGACGCCTTGGTCCGCGCCCCCCAGGGCAGGCTATGTTGATTGCCCCGCCGGGCCCCGCCGGCGGGATCAGCACAGCCCAGCCCGCGGCCCCGGCGACAAGCGGGGACTATGACCCGGAAAGCGCGGCGCTGCCTTGGCCACCTCTTTCTCAGCCTGGGCATGGTCTACCTTCGGATCGGGTAAGCGCGGCGCGCGCCCACTCGGCGCGTGTAGCCACAAAGTTGGCTGGGCCCGGGGAGGGAGACGCGCCGCCTGCCGCCGCCGGGCGACTTAGCTTCCTGAGAGGCAGAGGACTGTGCAGGAACCCAGGGCGCACAAAGCACCCACCCCCCGCAGCGACGCCCCAGGAGCGCACACAGCTCCCCTGACCCCATAGGAGACCCGCCATCCCGAGGACGTCTGAGTCTGGGAGTCCCCAGAAACAGAGCCCGCCAGCAAGGACGCAGTAGCCCCGGGACTCCGGAGGTCCCGCTGTATATTATCAGTTTTTCCCAGGGACCCCCGCAGACCACAAGCACTGCAAGTAGCGCAGGACCGCCAAGCCAGAACCGCAGCGGTCCACAGGGAGCTCAGCTCCCCATGGTAACTCGGCACCGCCACAGCCGCTCTGCAGACAGGGCGCTCCAGGTGGCAAACAAGGACCTAGAGGGAGGGGTGTTCACTGGCCAAAGTATAAACCACCGCTCAGAGCCAGGCAATCAGATCCCCTTCGCAAGCCAGGAGGACAGGTCTCTCAGCAAACAGCATCAAGATTCTCTGATAGTTGATAGTTAAGAGACCCAGCGAAAGACGCTCTCCAGACAGCACCAAAGCTGAAGCCCGACAGCCCGACCCTGAGACCTGGACAGAGGCCACTGGGGTGGGCGCCGAGCAGCCCTGGAGCTTTACACCGCGTGCCAGTGGGTGTGGCAAGCGATGTTCCTAGGGAAAGTGGGAGCAGGTGGCTCAGGATGCGGCTCGCACTACTTTGCGTGGTGGCTGTCTTTGTACTTAGGAGATAATGTGTGCCACACGGATGGGTGGACGGGGGGCGGGGGGCTTCAGCCACGGTGCTGGTGCCATGGGGCGGTCCCCCCCCCCCCCCCGCCCTCTGTGAACTCTCTACCACGGCTTTTGGGAAGGACCTGACCTAAGGCCCGGGGTGGGGGGTCGCCTTAAGCGGCAGGGCTTTTGTGTTTTTCCACCGCCACCCCGAGGTTCCCTATTTTCCCAACCCCACCTTTCTAGAGTGGGATTTCGCAACCAAGTGTGCGCTGAGAGGACTAGGCGGCCTCCAGCCCCACCGCGGATCAAGAGGCGGCTTCTGGGCTCGTGCGCTGCCTGCCTGTGGGTGTGTTTTAAGTGTTATTGATTCGCTCGCGTCTGGGTGGCTTTTC